TTTGTGTGACCATCAGCAAGGCACAGCACTAAGGTGCCAGGCTGTGAATGAGATCAGCTGAAATGTGAGATGCTGGTATTCATTCACTCACTCAAGAAGCGTTATGGAGGGCCTGCCATGTGTCTGCTCCAGGCCAGGCACACAATGGATCACACTTGGTTCCTGTCCTTGGGGAGAGAGGTCACCAACTGGTGACAGATAAACAGCCATGTGCCAAGGCTCCGAAGAGGCTGGGAAGGGGAGTATGGGAGTGGGGGCTGGGTAATGGAGTCCTCAGGAAAGACCTCAGGGGCAGACGTGAGCCATGGAGGGGCAGCAGGCAAGGTGGGTTTGGCTCTCCTGGCCTTGCTGTCATGAGACCACAGTCATGACCTGAACTTTTATTCAGAGAACAAGCACAGGCACAGGGCGGCAGGGGGTGGGGTGGGGGGAGGATTCGGGGGTGGGGCGGGCGGTGAGCTTACTCAGGTGAGCAGCATGGCCAGGTCTGTGTTTTTAGAAGATGGATTCTGGGTGAAGGCGGGGAGGGGCTGCGGAGCAAGGAGGACTGACCGTAGAGGAGGCTGCCACAGCCATCGAGACAAGAGACAGGGGGTGGCTGGGTCAGGGCCTGGGGCTGTGCAAATGGGAAGGCATGGATACAGTCGAGCTGGGTTTGGGAGAAGATTCTAGAGGATTTACTGATGGATCGGACACAGAAGTCCAGCACTCAGGCCACCTCCAGATGCCCCCTCCACAGTGGCTTTATCAGAAATGGGAAAAGAGTCCTCTTTCCAGGTGGATGCAGCACCAGCGACACTCTCTAAGCACCCAGGGAGGGTGCGACCTACAAGACCTTCACTCGCAGAAGGAGAGGGATGCCAGGCCTCTGCGTGAGCCTCTTTGCACTTGTAAAGCTGCTGATACCTACAGGAACCCATGGAGAGCCCCCCCCCGCCCCGCCCCGCTCTGCCCGAGGTTTGGGGACCTTTCGGCAGGGCCTCCTCCCCTGCCCCGAGCTGTGCGGGCGGCTTCTCCCCTCCTGCCCAGGCAGCCCTTCTCCAGAGCCCAGGGCAGTGTCTGCACCTGACCTTGAGAAGAAACGCAAACTTTAAAACCCTGGAAGCTAACGGTTCCACAAGCCCATTTGGCACTTAAATAAATGCAGGTTCTAGAACATCCGCAGCCCAAATGAAAGTAAACAGTGACAGAGTGTGAGCCATGACTGCGCTTGCCCCCGCAGTTTGCAAAGCTTGTAAACAAAGCGCGCTCCCAAAGCCAGAGCCGGAACGGGAGGCGGGCCCCATTCATCAGCTCCCGCCTCTATGGTACGTGAAGGGGCATATGTCCTGGTTAACAAACCATCACGGGGAACTAGTTAACAAAATTTCCCATTCTGTAGAGCAGGGGTGTCCAACCTTTGGTGTCTCTAGGCCACACTGGAAGAAGAGTTGTCTTGGGCCACACGTTAATTACATTGTGACGCGTAATCACCAAAAAAAAAAAAAAAATCGTATAATATTTTAAGTAAATTTACGATTTTTCATTGGGCCACATTCCCAGCCGTCCTGGGCTGCATGCGACCCATGGGCTGTGGGTTGGACACCTTGGCCCTTGAGGTTACCAAGACGGGAATAAAGAGTTATCTCCATGAGAACAGAGCCGCTCATTCTCATGCTTTTGTTTTTGTTTTAAATAAATCACTTCACTACAAGTGTCAATATGAAGCTTAACATCCTGATATTCAAGGGAAGGACAAAACGTCTGGGCTTGTAAACTTAAGAGATGATCACAACAAGCCAGCCCTGTCCCCGTGGTCCCTCTCCCTGGGGGCTGGTCTCGTTCTTGTAGCAGAGTTTTGGTAAAGACTCGATCTCATCTCCTGACCAGCTGCTCCCTAGAGGGGGGATGTCTCTGCCTCCCTCTTCCATGTAGGGACAGCCCTGTATCTAGTATTTGGCCTGAGATGTAGTAGGTGCTCATTAAATATCTATTCTGTGAGTCAACGAGCCTCTTTGCCAAAAGACCACCTCCACCCCAGCCCGTGCTTGCCTGGGGCCCTACCCAGACAAGGGGTGGACAGAAAAGGAAGCTGGAGCCAGGGGATTGAAAGAGTTCGGTTCCGGCCTCAGACTCTACCTCTCACCAGCACGTGCCTGTGTGAGTCACGTCGTTGGTTTTGGAGTTCCGGTCTCTAAAATGGGAAATAGCTGTTCTCTCACTTTTGAAGGTGCTATGTACGAGGCGATGGGAAAGAAGGACCTGGAAGTGCCTTGCATGTGGTGAGGTGACCCCACCACGCCTGCTGTGGTGGAGCGGGTGGGAGGGCGCAGGGCCACGGTGTGGACACGGGCCACAGCTCACTCTTAGACAGCCAGGCGGGTCAGTCGAGCGGATTTGCAGGTATAATTAATGCTGCAAAGTCGCAGAGGAAAATGTCACCCAGGCCATGCTCTCTGTATATGGGAGCAGGAGGCCAGGGTACAAACTACGGAGCTAGCAGGCCCCATAAATATGCCCATGCCCTGCTACAAGGCAACAGGGGGTGTTGGCGACTGGGGCTCACTGGAGATTGCACTCGCACGCTGCCCAAGGCGTTTGCACTGAAAGATTTAAAACACGTGCCCCATTGAACGCATCTGCGGCCTCACCTGCAGGTGGAGAGTTTGAGGCCCTGCAGGCTGTTGTATGAAGCGGGACTTTTTTCCTGATGCTTTGACATCTGGGAGACTTGTTGACACGAGGGGCACAGCGCCTCCCAGGGTCGGCCAATTCCCAGAGACAGCACATAGCACGAGGGCACCTTCCACACGCAAACCAACCCCCCGGGGCTCCTATCCCCAGCCGCCTTGGTCGTTTGTTCACCAGGCCTTCACACTCCAGGCTACCTGCCCTCGTCAGCCGGGGCCAGGGACCTGGGGCCAGGGACCCGGCAACCCGGTACTGCCCCTGAGCCCACGGAAATTATTCAAACCAGCCCATCCGAAGCCTGCTCGCCCTGCTTGTCTTCCCCTGGAAACCACAACAAAGCCTCTTGCCCATGTTTTCTCCTCACTCCCTCTGCTTCCTGACCGTCCTGCGGCCTCCCCGCGTGGCCTGACGTGGCTGCCACGCCCCCTCCTGAGGAACGGTGGTAACTCTCTTTTCAAGGCAGCCCCCCCCATCTGTTGGTCTCAGGAAACCTGAATAATATTAAAACCTGTGTTTTAAAACACCTGTGAACTCCACTGGAGCATAAAGATTCAATGGCTGCTTTAATGCCATTGAAGCTCGGCAGCTAACACAGTCCCGGGCATCTCGCAGGCACAATTTAAATATTAACCAATAAATGGATGGGTGGGCAGACTGACGCAGGGGCCAAGTGAAGAGCTGGATAGAGCATCTACCTGGCTACGCGATGCCCTACGCTTCAGGCTCCTATTTGCAGTGGCCTCAGGAAGCTGACTGCCCACCTGCTGGCATCCAGCCCTTCGGGCTGCTCCTAAGTGAGAGGCGCTGCTTTTGGGAGACAGTCCACCCCCCCAACTCTGGCTGTTCCCTTCATTCAAGTGCCGATGGAGAGACCGCCTCCTCCAAGGGTCTCTTTGAGGTAAAAGCGTGAAAGCCAGAAAAAGTGCCCCAGCCCACCCATTGGCACAGGCTCCCCAAAGGCAGCACCAGGCACGTCGCTCGGCTCCGTGGACCCGGAAGTGCCCCGGTGTCTGCACGGGCCCCGGGGGGTGGTCTGCCTCCCTCCCTGCCCGTCTGGCTGGTAAACTCAAAGTTGGGCTAGACAACCCTTACTCTTTAAAATGCATCCACCTGCTCTGCCTGAAGGACTGAATCTCCCTGGCGGCTGTCCTGCTCGGCACCGCTCTCTCGCCCCAGGCAGCGGGAAGGCCTCAGGCCCCCTGGGAAGGCCGAGAAGCCGCCTGCTGAAGGGCCCAGCATTTGCAGTTCCTGATGGACACTCAGTTGGGTGACTCGGTCCTCAGCAGTGGCTGTCTCCCCAGGGCCACTCCTTCCCCAGGAGGGACTGCCTGAGAGGTCACCCTGGGGGAGGGTCACCAGTAGGGTGACCCTGCGAACTGGTTCACCCAGAACGGAGCCAGCTTGTGCCATTATCCCAGCGTGATTATTAAACTCTCCCCGCTTCTCTCTCAAAAGGGTCCTGGCTTGACTGGTAAGTTACACAGTCACCCTCAACATCTGGCGATGTATAAATAAACGGAACGATGGAAGACTCACAAGTAACAGAGTCTGGTTGCTTTGTTTTCACAAACAGGAGTTTAAGGTTTGGCGAGTGCGCTGGAGGCCTGGCGGAAGCGAGCGGCAGGACGAACGAGCAGAAGGGAACTAACTGCCTGACCTTGGGCTCTGGCGGGCCTAGCTCAGAACCGGGGGTGGGGCGGCCCGGGCCAGCTGGGTCAGTCTGGGCCAAGCAGAGCTTCGCTCACAGCCTTTTTCCCCAAGAAGAGATTTTCAAAGACAGTGTTTCTTTCTCCTTGTTGAAGTCTCAAGCCCAGAGGCCAGCAAAGGGTAGAGGCAGAGAAGAAGGGATCGTGGCGTGTCCCCAGGTGGGCAACGGGGGACATGGGACGTGCACGCGTTTTGTCGTTGCCACAGGCTCTGTGCACAGCCCCACTTACCACCACCTTGCGCGGTCGCGGGGACCCTGAACAACTTCCCGTCTGTCTTCCTTTCTTCCTGGTTGAGGTCTTACGTCTGTCAGGATGAACTATTTATCTGTATTGCCTGAAATGTCACAGACTGTGGGCAAAACCGGGACAAACCCAGGCACAAGAAATAAGACCCCCCTGACGACGCTCACACGCAGCCCCCCAAAGCTACAGAAGCTGTCGGGAGGGGGTGTTCCTTTCCCAGCACCGAACTTGCCCATGAGAAGCGGCTGGAGTTTGTGAGATCCCCTTCTTCGGGAGCTGAACTGCTAAGTGAATCTGTGGACACGCAGGACCCCTCCCACAGAGCAGAGCACAGACTCAAAAGGGAAAGGGTGGCTGTAAGTTTCAGAGTTTCGCCTGGTGGCCTCACATGAAGTTTAATCAAGCTATAAAATGCTCAGTGTCCAGTGTTTAAGGACTCGTTCCACTTTGCAAGTGTGTGTGTGTTTGTGAATTTAAACTTCAAAGCTATTTGGTTTTTTTTATGTAAGATAAGCCATCATGCAAAACGGACTGGTCAAGCAGTTAATAAAATACACATACCCCATTGGCGGGTTTTGTACATTTCGGTCCTTGCAGATAACAAAGCAATTATAAAACCTGCACGATCCTGAGAGTGAGTTCCTTCGTGTCTGAAAGTTGCCAGTCCTGAACAGCTCTTTGGGGGCTCATGTGTTATAAGTTCTGGAAGCTCTTTTAGCTGCACTTTGGGCATCGGCAGGATCTTCTTCCTCTTCCTCTGCGCGCTTGTGCTTTAAAAACAAGTCGGACTTCAAGAAGCGGCTGTAACTGTCATACTTCATGAGGTTGAAGATCTAAAGGGGAAAGGAGAAAGAACTCTGAAGGATGAGGCTAGCCAGGCCATGAATCACTCTATCAAATATTTATTCAATACCTATCATGTGCCAAAGAATACAAATACATGCAAGACACCCAGAGACAGCTAAAGTAAGTCATGCGCTGGACAAGGCAGATTTCCTGGATGTTTCTGGTCATCATGAAATAATCTCAGTGGAATATAATAGCTTGGGGAGTCACATGAACAAATCTCCCTTTATTTTCCATGGGAAGTATGGATTCACACAGTGCTGATTCATGGCCTTGTATCAAGAGACCCTTCACACCTCTCCACGGTATTTGGAGAGATGACCCAGGGACATATTTCTCCAGGAACCCGAGGTAGCCGAACAGAAGCGGTTCCTGTAGAGGCTCCGCTGATGTGCAGGCCACTGACATGGCAGATGACGCCAGTATTGTAAGACCCCCAGAAGCCTGGCATCTAAGAGTGCAAACAAACCTCCTATTATGCCAAGAAACAAAAGGGGACTTACTGGATGCAGGGCAGAGGAGTAACACCAGTCTAAGCAAGGAGAGGCTTCGGGGACAGGCCCTAATTAAAGAGACAGCGGCCGGCTGCAGGATGCACACTCTTGCGTGCTCACAGGGGCGCCGGAGCCAGCGTCTGGGACAGAAATGAGTCCAAGGGGTGCCCACCAGGGGCAAGGCGACCCCTCACGGAGCTGAGGAGCCCTGACAGAGCCTAGGCCTAAGTCCTCTGGGTCAGAGGACAGCCACGCGCCACACCGCAGGCCCTCAACGAGCCGTCCCCTCTCTTCTTAGCCTCGGTCCCTGTTCCCCGCATGCCCTCTGCCCTGCTCCCACCCTCCTCGCTTGCCCTTCAAAAGGTGGAGGGAGAAAAGAAGCAAAAAGGAAAGCACTTTCCACTGGTGAGAAGTACAATCTCTTCTGAGAAATCTCTTCCTCTCTCTCTCTCTCTCTCTCTCAGACCTTGTGACGGGACTTTCAGGACAGTCTGCAGACTGCAGTCCACACGTGGCACCCTGGCACCTCCATTTACTGCGCTGCCATGAGTTCAACACCCGGAAAGTTCCAGAGGCCTCTACGGCCAGGAAGGGTTAGCAAGTGGGTGAGAAAACCCTGACATCTTTTACGTCTGCCCGTTCCCTACACACATGCAAACTATGATGTAGATTAAACATCTGACGGAGCCTGAGGACTCAAGAACGTCTGTCTGCCTGAGGGGTGGGGGCGCTGAAACCTTAGGCCTTTACGCCTTCATCTTCCCAAGACGCTTCAACTGCAAAAGAGCCATCTCAATCATTTTGCTATCAGCAAAGTCAACAATCCAGGGAAAGATTTCCGACTTTGGGTTTTCTTCCAGCTCCTAAACTACTGCCTGCCCTTCCACGAGTCTCTCCAGCCAGTCTGTCCAAGACCTGCGGCAGCGCAGAAAGACCGCACCTCCCTAAACTCCCCCTACCCAGCCCCCGCTGTTTACCTATTTTGTAGCAATATTGTAATCCTAGAGCAACTTGTTGAGATTTAGAGAAATTATTCATAAAAAAAAAAACTTACAGAAAATACAAAAATCAGAACCAGGCACAGGACAGGGTAGGAGGGATGCCATCCCCACTTCGTGACCTTCCATGAATGTGCCAAGCAGGCGTCACCGTCCCTCACCCCCTGGGAGATTCAGCCCCTCCACGCACAAGAGGCCCCCAAGGGCCCTGTGAGATACCCACTAGTTCCAAGTCTGAACCGGATGCACAAAGAGTGACTGACAAAGCCAGCCCCGTGATGCCCCTCCAGGCACCAGCCCTGGGCCCCCTCCTACCCCAGGGCCACGGCAGATGGGACCCGCCACTGCCAGCAGGATGCGGTTCGACCCAAGTGACTCTCTGATGTCTCTGCGCGTAGGAGTGGAACATCCTGTTTGCCTATAGTGGCTCTGAGGCTCTCACTTCAAAGAGGAGACGAAAGAAGGCAGGGGCTGGAGGCACCCAGGGATGGAGGAGGCGGGGGAGGGAGGAGGAGGCAGCGGCTTCAGCAGAGTGGCAGGCTCAGCCGAGGCTCGAGGCTCGGGGGCTGCTCAGGAGTGGGCAGGGCTCTCTCAACCTCCAGCAGATCCCAAGAGATGGCAGGCTCTTTCCTGGGGCCAACAAGCTTGGGGGCGGGCACTGGGGACGATTTAACAAGAGGCGGGCCACACCCTGCCCTGAGTGGGGTGTGGGAGCCCTGCAACGGGGGGCTTCCTTCCGCAGGACGCCTGGCCGGCCTCCTGGTGCAGCTGCTGGCACGGCAGAGTCCCCGAGGGCGCAGCTACAGCCGTGAGGCCCGGCAGGTTAGAAAAAGAAGAAATGTCATTCCCAGCGGCCTCGTTTCTGGGACTGTGAGCTGCCTGACATCTCTGCACAGGGTCTTCAGTGTCACTGGCAAAGGTCTCTGGGCCACTGGCCTAGGAACACTGGCCCATCACATGGCTCCTCAAGGGTGGTGCTCAGCAAAGAGGTCCAACCTGCGGCCCACAGGCCTCACGCAGCGCAGGATGGCCATGAATGCGAACAACCCAGAATCATAAATTTACTTAAAACATTAGGAGATTTTTTGCGATTATGTGTCGCAATGTGTTTAATGTGTAGCCCAAGACAACTCTTCTTCTTCCAGTGTGGCCCAGAGACGCCAAAAGGTTGGACACCCCTGGTTAGACGATAGAAAATGCTCCCAAACAATCTCTCTAAGGAAGTGGCCAAAGATAGCGCATCCAGCTGCAGACCACAGCCTTCTCGGCCACAGGGCCAATGGACATCGCTACAGTCCAATAAATGTCTGCCCAGCGAGTGAACAGAGGCCATTGCACCATGCAACAACAGAGCGCTGGCGACATGAATCGGCGCTGTACCAGCAGCCCAGGGCGCCTCCTAACCAGGCACCAGGCAGCGTTGAATCCTTCCCCAAACCCCACGGGAATCCAGATGACCCAGAGGAGGAGGAAAAGGGCCTTAGAAGTCCCATGCTCTGCCCCAAGGGCCGGTGCATTGCTCAGCTCCAGCTGCCGTCACAGGTGCCACAGCCTATGTGGCTTAAACAACCGAAATTTGTTTCCTCACAATTCTGGAGGCTGCAAGTCCACGGTCAAGGTGCCGGTGGGGGAGTCTCTTCTGTGCCCTCTCTCCTTCCTTTGTAGATGGCTATTTCCCCTGGTGTCTTCCCCTGGTCCTCCCTCTGCATGTCTGTGTCTTAATCTCCTCTTCTTAGAAGGACACCAGTCGTCGTGCTTGACCCAATGACCTCATTTAGCCTTAAATACGGCTTTGGAGACTCTCCGAACAGTCACGGTCTGATGAACCTGCACTTAGGTCTCCATCATAGGGCTCGGGGCCGGGGCACAGTCCAGCCCATAGCAGTGAGCAAGTGAGCCCAGTGGGACACGAGCTCAGGCTGTCTAGCTCCGGCGGTGGCGGGGGTGGGGAGGGGAGAGGGGCGGGGCACTGCTCACCACCAGGCAGCACTGCCATTCACATGGCAGACCAGCTGGCAGTCCATAAAAATGAAGTTTGTAAAAAGAGTGTAGCATGGAAAAATGTGCGTGAATGTTAAATGACTAAGCACTCCCATTTTTAAATGCACTAAAAATAAAAGCAGTGATCCCAAATATGCTCTTCAAGAGTTTTGCGAATACTATGTAAAGTATATGATTGCCTAACCACTACGCTGTACACCTGAAATGAATACAAAATAATATTGCATGCAAACCATACTTGAAAAATAAAATTTTAAAAAGGAGTGTTAGTGTGTGTAAATGGGAAATAAACGTCTCCAAAGGTCAGCGTTGTGGATCAAACAGTGCCTCCCCCCAACTTCATTTCCACCTGGAACCTCAGAACGTGACCTTGGTTGGACAGAGGGTTAGTGGAGGATGTCGCGATGACATCGTCATGGACGGAGGGCGGGGTCCTGCTCGGAGGAGGGGACACAGAAACACACAGAGGGAAGAAGGCCGCGTGAAGGTGGAGGCAGAGAGCCGGGGGCGATGCAGCCCCAAGCCAAGGGGCACCCTGGACTGCCAGCAACCCCCAGGGCCCAGGAGGAGGCCAGAAAGGATGCTTCCCAAGAGCCTTCCGAAGGGGCACAGCCTTCCCGATGCGGCACAGCCCTCCCGACGCCTTGATTTTGGACAAGGTGGGAGAGTATAAACTTGCTGTTTTAAACAACTCCATTTGTGACAAATTATTATGACAGCCCTTGGAAGCTAAGCTGAATTATTGATTTTGCCTCCCTCTTAAGGGAGCACAGAAGATGAGATAGCACTCAGGGTTCCAGGAGCTTCTATAAAACCAAGACTCTTTGATGGGAAGAACTGGCCTCCCTGTGGCTGGGCTGTGACCGTCACTTGACCAACACACCTCAAGTGTCTGCTGGACAGAGAAAAATGGGGAGCCGAGTCTAGGACATGGGTGGGGCTCCAGGTGGGCAGAGGCACCTGAGCAGGGCCACGAGGCAGTCAGTCCTTCCCAGAGACAGGCAGCTGGTGAGGCAGAAAACTCAAGCTGGCAGCTCAAGTGCATTCTGTACTTTTTTTCTTTTTTTTTTTTACCAAGACAGCTGTGGCTCAGCAGGTTCTGGTTTTGGCAGCCCCACATCTGTGAACTGTATGCCCAGACTAAACTTTTCGGCATCGTTGTCTTGGGATCCAATCCTGCAGGCGGCCAGACGGGGGAGCCTTCGGAAAAAGAGGCGAGCCGTGCGGCCCAGGTGCAGCTCCGCACAAGGTCCCACAGCACCAGGTCGCGCCACAGCCAGGCGCCCCTCCCTCGCGGGCCCCCAGAGGTGCTGGGGCTGGCTGGGATTTGCCTCTCTGCGGGGATCCTAACTTCAGGGTGTTCCCAATTCTGCTCCTCCAGACAAGGGCTCCCTGCCGAACCGACCTCATCCACATAGAGAAGGAGAACTCCCTCGGTGAGCACTTCAACACTGTCTCAATTAAGCACATTCCCAGCCTAATAAATCTTCTAAC